AGTCACACATTTGCACTTCGTCTCCTCGAGTTTGTGTTTTACAGTCGTTCCATTGATTCCTAAAATGTGCCCCCTTTTTTTTTGCTTTTTTTTTGCTTTTGATCACCGCCGAGGAATAATAAGACCACGGTTATGACAGCGTTGAGAGCTCCGACAAACACACACTTGACTTGTCACATGCTCACGGATCCACAAGGCAGCACAGTGTGTGCGTCTTACGGATCTTTGAAGTCACATTCATTCATTCTGGCTGACTTGAACTCCCTCTGTGGACTTTTATGGTTTGGGTTGAAAGCCGTGTGGCCCCGCTTCTTTCATTCCATCCCTCCAACCCAAACGCTTTTTTTTTTTTCAAGTAAACCCAGACGACTGATTGACTGGCAGCCCTCGGACGACCTCGTCACCACCCGCCACCTCCTTCTCACCCCCGCTGCTAAGCATGCGTGAATGATGGCCCAGGCGAAGCAGCGGGGATTAAAAATAAAAGAATGGGCAGCAGCAGGATTTGGTGTGACTGTTGGAAGTTGGGCGTTCCTCCACTCAATAGGAATTCCAGAGGCCAGCAGTTAAGGCTCAGCACATACCTTCCCCCTGAGTCAGGGCGGCTCGGCCTGAGACTGTCAGAGAAGTGGCGGGGGTCAGGTTGTTTTGTTGCGCCACGTCACCTTTCGAATGTTTGCTCATGCTTTACCTTACGACATGCATGCGTGCATGCGTGCTGGAATCAAGGGCAAACCGTGGAGGGGGCTTGACACACAGCACATGTTACCCTTTTGCAACAAAAAATAGATGATGTGAGATAGATGTACAGTATATACATACAGGGTCAGGCAAAACGATCTGACACATTTGTAGGTTAAATAAAAGGCGAATAAAGTAAAGAAACAAAAAATTGCTTTTATTTTCGAAAAGTACATCTAATGTCGTTCTGTTTCATTATGTTTTAAAAATTCAATCGGTCAAATGGGATCCATTATTGTCCGCACGCTTTTGAAGGCGTTCACGAAAGTTGTCTAACAATATTCCTTTTTGGTCTGAGAAAAGTCTGTAGCATCTCACAATAGCTACAAAGAAGTACAGACCCCATATACAAAAAAAATGGCATTTTATATACTTTTCGAAAATAAAAACACTTTTTTGTTTCTTTACTTTATTTGCCTTTTATTTAACCTGCAAATGTGTCAGATCATTTTGCCTGACCCTGTACGTGTGTGTGCTGTATTTTGGGGACGATAAATACATATCAATGTAACGCGATCTCTGGAGGCTGTGACAAGTAGGACGACAGCGGGGAAAGAAAATGACTCGTCCCTCTCATTGACATCCTCCACTCTGTTTTTATCCCGTTCATTCCACCCCCACCCCTCCCCGGCCATCCGCCTCCCTGTTATTGTCTTGTGTGCAGCAGCAGCATCCTCCCACACACTTCTCGCTCATGTAAATATAGAGACGGCTCCATTTAGAACGCACATGTGCAATTACGCCGGACCTTGGGGACCGCAGTGACACGGCGCAGCCTGGATGTTTATTCCCACTTCCATCTGGACTTCCCGTCAAAGTGCCTCACACCTACTCGTCCAACCTGCTGCACCTGCACGATCATACCGAGGATTGTCGATTCTCCCTCAATTTCCACCCCCCCCCCAAAAAAAAGCAGCTGTTGTTTTAATTGGTTCCATCGCTACACATATTTTCAAGCCATGTTGAGAGAGGTGTTACTTCAAGGTCACATGCGTGGGAACGCTCTTTGCGCCAACTCTTATATTCCCGGCACCCGGCAGGGAGAAGGTCACACGCAGCGACCATGCGGGACATGCCAAGCCCATAACGAAGTTATTTTTCTGGTTGGTGGTGAGGCAAAAACTTGCTGACATTGTCATGAAAAATGTGCATGTCATGCCAATCACGCAAAATAACAAAACTCAAGCGCAGAATAAAGCGTCAAAAATCCCCACAGTGGCCTTTCTGCGATTTTAAAGAACTTGGATTGAATTAGCCCGGACGGAAGTGGTTTGACGCACACAGCACTCAATTTCAGTCAGGACAAGGCTGGGTGAACATTTGCTTTGGAGGACGTCACCACAAGTCTCCATTAAGACCACAAAACATTTCTAGATTTGTTGCTCATCATATTTGTTTAAATACAGCACCTTATCTGCTAAAAAACAAACAAACAAACAAAAACCTCATTTGTGATCTCGATCTGGGTATTTTTGTGCTCTTTCTTACACACTTGAAGATGCTGCCCAGCAGCCCAGCTCCTTCTAAGGTGCCATGTTGGTGGAAAAATTGTCAGGAATAGCCTATGAGAACAGCTGAACTTTATTTGGGGTTGAGCAATTTTAATTGAGTCATTTTATTCTCGTATGACCATTTTTATATGGACTTTATTCGTGTATTGTAAGCCTTTTTCCTCAAGTACTTAACATTGCTACTCTCGTGCAATATTCTGACTTGATTCATACAACTACCCGCCCCCCCAACCACAAGCATCAAAATCCAGTACAAAATGAGTCTGCCTTTATCCAGGAAGGAAAGCCTTATCCCAACATCCTGCACCTTCCAACAGACCTCCCGTTTGCAGGAGATTAGCCTGGCCGCATTCCAGGCGACCCGCCCGTAGAATCCAGCTGTCCCATCCCGAGAGACGATTCTCCCTTTTCTGTCCGAAATCAAATCAATCCACGCTGTCATCAAGATGTCTGAGTTAAGCTTCCAATGAGACCAAGGGCTCGCTCTTTAAGTGGTGTCGCTCAGTCTTGTGGGTTTGTCTCGTGGTCTCTCGCAGGCCCAGTTTGTCTACAGACGGGTCTATTTTTTGACCCGCCGGCGCTCGGTGGCTGCTCGTGCTTTTCAGCAGTTTGGTTGAGTACACTCACGTCCGGCGACCGATGTGCAACGTTGGCATCAAGACTCATGAATAAGAAGAAAGTAGGTTTGGAATAGCTGTCCACTCCGTAATGAAGTTCATCGTTGCTGCGATGCATTTAACAGAAAACACATGAAACCACTTTTTTTAGGTGTCATCATAACTCATGCATGAAATAAAAGTGATGTTTACAACGCTCTAAAAAAAAGCAAATAAACAGCTTTGGCCAACTTTTTCGTACGCACCTTTGAATAAATGATGTGTTAAAACAGTTGAGTTTAAAGCCAAACACTCCACATTAGTGTTGGCTGATGTCATATTTTGACACAGACAGTCCTAGAGTCAGCAGTCTGGAAATATCTGAAGTCATATTTGGAAGTAGGTGGACATGAAATATCGTTGGAAGCAAAAGCGTGCTGCTCTGGTATCATTTTTATGATATCCCACCAACACCCCCACTCTGCCTTCTCGCTAGCCAGCTGGAGACAGAGGATGCTGGGGGGAGGGAGTGGGGAGGTGGGGGTTGCCATCCAAAAGCTACAGTGTTAAATCCCTGGCGTTTCCCCGCTGTGTACTGTATATTGTGCCACAAACAGGAAGCTGGCAATGCTATAGCAAACATTTACAGAAAAAGGAGACGACTGATGGGTGCAGTCGATGTACGCTTGGCCATTTCTTGTGGCTGCTGATGAGGGGGGAAAAAGCTTACATGGATGCTAATCATCCAAAAAGGCAGCAAAATAAATGTCAAAATTGGAAATGTGTGGTGCCTTGAGATCAGCGTGACCCGGCTTGAACGTTTACTATCAAACCAAACGTAAAACATTGAGAATTATTATTCGTTCTCATTACAAACCGCCCAACTTTGCCTGTGGAATATCCGCTCTTCATGCTAACGCACAACGCAAAGCGCCATAAGCTAGCGACTAGCATCGTTGTTATTTCACAATGCCCCCCCCCCCCGACCCCCAAACACTTTGGAGACTAACTTTCCGGTCCTCTTTGTCTTAGTGAAATTGCAAAACTGGAATGTGCTTTTGGAATATTGACTCCAAGCAGAATTTTCGTAGAAAATAAAATAAATGCCACATCTATGCCTTATTATTTACTAAGGTAAGATTCAACGTTATTCTTTTTTCCAAAATCCCGAATTATGCTGCTCTCAGAATGTATTTTCTCATCTGTACGAAATTACTGCGTACTCCCAGTACTTGCCCTTAAAAAGCATTTTGTGCCCGCTGTCTGCGAATCACGCTCTTTAAATCCCCTTCACTGACTTTATGTCTGACTTGTCGAGCAAGAGTGATGCATCAAGGTAAAAACTCTGGGGGTTGTCTGCCTTGTTGGGCTGAAGTGCATCGCTTCAAGGTTGCCCGGTGACATGATCCTATAAAGGACTTATTGTCTTGCTCCCCTTAGCACACACAAAGCTTGTGTTTTGCTCTTTAGGTCTTGATAATGTCCGAGGGACACTCATGCTGCTTGTTGCGGCTGTGTTCCTAATCAAATGTCAGCACTCATCACCGTGGAAACGAGACAACACACAGACACGGCACGGCATTCAGGGCGTCGATGCTTTTAGTAGGTAGGAAGGCTGTTTATGCAAAACACTTGGATTTTCAGGGCCATACTGACAAGAAAAGGAAATTGTACGACCAATAAAGTAGTCTTTTTGTTTAATATTTTTAAAAAATGTCAAACGAAGTAGAAATATGACAAGAATCATTTTTTTCTTGTATTATTGTGACTTACTTCACATCCTTCCATGCCATTTGATCATATTCAAGAAAAAAAAATGCTTTTTGTGACATTATTTTGAATACCTGTACTGTTTTTGTGATCTATTTTTCTCAAAAGAATAAAACCATTCTTGTGATATTGCTCCTAATTTACTTCTTCGTGTAATATTTACATGTACACGTTTCTCACAATATTATGTTTAATTGTAAATATGCCTTTAACTTTATATTTGGCTTTTAGTGTGATGATGTGATTGCAAATCTTCCGGTGGTTATCTTATCAATAAGTTTTGGGCACATATCACTCATCTCTTTTCTGCCGAGGTCATGTTCAGAACTCTTCTCCAGTTTGACTCTAACAGTTGCTATTTTTTCATTTTATTTTCTTAAAGCGGCACTACCCTTCATCATCATGACCATCGTCTTCAAACCTTACCAGAGGGGCGTGTACTGCGACGACGAAAGCATCAAGTACCCGCTCAAAGCGGACACCATCACCCACAGCATGCTGGCCGCCGTCACCATCTCCTGCACAGTCGTCATTGTACGTTTTTCAGCTCCAAATGCTTTTGTTCTTCCCGTCGACTGCCGACAACCCGCTCTCACTCTCGTTTCCTCAGATCTCATCCGGAGAAGCGTATCTGGTGTACAGCAAAAGGATTTACTCCAATTCCGACTTCAACCAGTACGTGGCCGCCCTCTACAAGGTTGTGGGCACCTTCCTGTTTGGAGCCGCGGTTAGCCAGTCGCTAACTGACCTGGCCAAGTTCACCATCGGCCGGCCTAGGCCTAACTTCATGGCCGTGTGCGCCCCTAAAGTGTGCACGGGCTACATGCAGATAATCAACTGCACGGGCAATCCTCAGGATGTCACAGAGTCCAGGTAGGATGCCAACAAGTAGGTAGAGATAATTATTCTTCCGCCATATTAATCAACATTTTGATGGCCAGCCCATACTCTGCTGCCAGGTTCGTCCTTTTGACGTTTTGATCACTGGACTGACCCTAAAGAAACAGAAATGAAAACCAGTTTCACTTCTTACGAAAACTTGAAATTTGGTACGCATGGCTTTAATGAGCAGACCCACAAAAAAAGTCTCAAGAAGCCATACCGAGAAGCCGTTTTAGGATCATTTTGAGATCTTGAGATTTAAAAAAAAAAAATCAGCCCCTGATGCCAGTTTTGTTCAACAGCATGAATTTTGATCGGCATGTCTATCAAGAGTAGCCCCACAAAAAAAGTGTCAAGAACGCATGCCCACAAAGACGTGGAAAGTCTGCCATTTTGGGTCAAATGGTGGCTTCAAACCAAAATAACTGCGAGACCAAATTGATTAAAAAAAAAAAATGTTCATATGATTCTTTCGTCTGTTTTCAGGTTGTCCTTCTACTCGGGTCACTCGTCTTTCGGCATGTACTGCATGCTCTTCCTCGCGGTAAGCAACATGAATGACACACTTGAATAATCTCCTTTAAAAGCGCATTTAAGTGCTTACAACATTGACGTTTTTTTTTTTTCAATCTGTCACATCTGTTTTTTTTTTTAATTTAATAAATGAATTGAATTTAGTTTAAAAAATAAATAAAAATGAACCAAATGAAAACTCAAGAACTATTATCACGTCCACTTGTATTCCCCCCAACCCCAGTGGTACCTAAATACAGTGGTACCTTGACCTAATTATCTGTTATTACAATACAGTGATGTTTTTTGCATTAACAAAATGCAAGCAACTTTTTTTTTTCTGGCGAGGGAAATGGGGGTTGATAATTGACATTTCAACAGAGAATAGTGGACGAATTAAACTCACAAGTCAAGGTACAACTCTTACAGTATGTCATTAACCACCGCTGTAAGATTCTGGAAACGCTTCAAAGATCAATCTTCAAACGTACATGACCCCTGACAAACTTGTGACGAATACCACTCGTGTATTTGATGGCAATCTCCATGTGATGCGATATGGTTCACATGATCACACCTAATAGTCCCCAGATGGCGCGTTCGGCAGACCTACGCACCTTACGCTCATCGAGGCCCAAAAGCCTTTTAAGGGCTTTTCTTTTTTTTTTTTTTTTTTTTTACATGGCAACAAGTTGAGTGGAAAAATGTGCAAGTTGTCAGCAATGACCGGCTTGCTTCCTTCCCGGCAGAGACGTGATGTTCCACTTGATTAGCCTTGGCATTATCCCTCACACATTAGCACACGCACACACAAACTGTAGGTGCGTACATGCGGACATACACACATGGACACACACACACACACACACACACGGACACAAGCCTACACGCATACAAACACAGGCGGACATAAACCCACTGATAGACACACACACACACACACACACACACACACACGCGCGCGCGCGCGTCCCGACAGGCACAGACAGACAGACGGCAGACATGCAGAGCAGCGCAATAGGAGGCCAAGCAAAGCAGCAGAGACCTTGTCCTTGCATTCACAGTGCTTCAATCCACACTAATAATAGTGTCCAGTGTTCTTTATCAATAGTGAGGCTGGACTTTTTGCCTGTGGACGTATGGAGGTGCCATGCCAAGTTTTGCACATTTACCGGCAGTCTTAATTCTGGAGAGCTGCCAGCTTCAGATTTTTTTTCCCTCCCCCATTATTGCAACAAAATGAAAGAAAAAAAATCATGGCTCAGACACAATTATTACTCTGTTTATTCAAAATGTTGAAGTGTGGCTCCATGTAGTGTAGTCCTATTTACTGTTTATGCAATAATTGACACGACTACAGTAAGGTTAGCCAACATGCATGATTTAAATTAATTCAATGACAAATGCAGTTTAAATAATTTATAATAAAAAAAGCACAAAATATCTGTATGATTCATGACTGTATCTCAAATATAAAATACGAATGTGTACGTTTAAATCAAATTTTTTAAATGATTTTAAAAAAGTATACAAATGAAATTAATGAAAATATAAAATACAACTGAATTAGAATGCTCATAATTTTTATATGTATTATACTCTTAGTAAACAAATTTGAATATAAAATTATAAATTAATTAAAATACAAATAAATGAAGTTGAAAAACATTTTTTAAAGCACGATATTTCAAATCCAAAATACAAATAAAAGAATAAAATACAAGTCATGGAAAAGAAAACATGCATGACGAAACCATTAAAACACCAACAAAAGAGTGTATGGAAAGAATATATTCATGAAAAATAAAATGAAATTAAATTAAGAAATTTACAATAATTTTCTGGATTAAAAAAATGAATATGGTTCAACTACAAATAAAAAACGTACACAAATGTAAACTAAAGTTCAATAATTTCAAATGTAATTAAATTAGGTTCAACCACAATTAAAAATTATTCAAACTATAGAAATAAATCATTTTAAATAAAGGTGTTACCATGTTGGTTAGCTCTATTCCTACAATTATTTTTGCATTTGCATATTTTGCATCGATTATCAAGACATAATTGTAAGTGCGCAGCGCCTACACGTCTCGGCTGCTTTTTCTGGCTGTAAATCGCTTTTCCGACATTGTCACTGCCAGTAACCGCCGAGTTGGTCCACCGAGGCAACACATGACTTCAGAAGACTAACAACCATGCGTTGATTTTTCAGTATTAGTCTCTTCGTAATAGCTGATCGCGGTCGGCCGACTAACTCCAATTTGCTGTCCCCACCCCCTTTCCCGCAGCTGTACGTGCAGGCCCGGCTGGTGGCCAAGTGGGCGCGACTCCTGCGGCCCACCGTGCAGTTCTTCCTGGTGGCCTTCGCCGTCTACGTAGGCTACACGCGCGTCTCCGATTACAAGCACCACTGGAGCGACGTGCTGGTGGGGCTGCTGCAGGGGGCGCTCGTCGCCATGCTCAACGTTAGTATGCAACATAATGTCGATAATGACATCTGTTTATGGGTGTGTCATGGGTGTACTGCTTGCTTGTATGTACAGTGGACCCATGCATACTCGTATGGTACCTGCAAACTCACCTATTCGCAGATTTTGAAGAGCTATGAAAAAATGTTTTTCATTTTTCTTTCCATTGCAAAGGGCTCTCTTGCATAAAAGTGACTATTCATGGCAAGCGAAAACTGCTAACGAAGAAACCAGCATAAAGTGCAAAAATTATTATTTTTTTTTCACAAAAATCAACTCACTCAAAAATGTTATTTTGTTGAAGTACTATGTCCTGCATGTCATTCCAAAGCCGCAAAAAAAAAAAAAAATTATTAGGCCTACTCACATTGTATTACAGCGCAGCATAAGACCCAATGTAAGCACAGCTATTAGACATCTCTGCCATCTAGTGGTAATTGGAGATATTACAACTTCAAAATACATCCCACCACGGTTTGGCACCCGGCCGGGATTTCTCATATTCACAGATTTTTTTTTTTATTGTTTTCCAGGATTTTTCCCGTTTCCCTCCCTTGAGATGTTTTTAGGATTTGTCAAAAAAAAAAAAAGAAGAAGAATTAATTAAGGGGCCACTCAGAGTGCAGCCCGCGAGGCACCATATCTGTTCTAGTAAATCAGGAGGGGGGCGGGGGGGGCATATTGGAGTGATATCGTGAATTGCAGTGATGTGCTGTGATGTACTGAGTCCGCCGTCATTTTCTTTCACTGCCCTTTTCGAATTTTTTTAGTTAAAAGTGCCACATTTGCTTTTAATATCAGTTTAGTTTAAAGATGTGATGAAAATATCAGCCATCGTTCCAGAAAAAGCAAAACTTTGGGAGGGGTTGTCCACATCAAACCGTGTTTAACACATTTCTCACCACAGGAATATGTTGGCTTCATTTCTGCTTACAGTGATATTTCATCTAGACGGGAAGTGAGCAGGGATAGAAATGTGACTTGATACACGCACACCCGCGCACCCTCGACCGAATCCTCAAACTATTCTTCTCACTTCATCCAGCTAGAACTTTTTATTGTTTGGAATGAGACTCAGCACCATCTTGTGGAAATTACCAGAGTGTTTGTGTTTGATGGTGAAGGTCATAACTGAAGAAAAAAAATAAAACTAAATTTAAAAAAATACATCGAAGATAATGAAAAATACATTCAACAAGAAAATGAACAGTGTGGATAAAAGGTGTGAATTTTACGAAAAGGAATCTGTAATTTTCTGAAAGCAAGTCGGAGCATTACAAGAAAAAAAGATTGAAATTTTACATTATAAATAGGAGTAAACAAAATCAACTAAAAACACACACAAAAAGTTACAAGTTAGGAAGAAAATGTAATTTTCCAAGAAATACTGCAGTTCTGTAAACAAAATGTATTTTTCTTTTAATGGTGAAAAGTTTCAATGTTTTGAGAATGAAGTTTGTGTAAGTAGGTTTTCTGAAAATAAATTTGCACTATTACAGGAAAAAAATGCTGCATAAAAAAAGTCGCGGGAAGAAATTTTAAGTTTCATGTGGAAAAGTTACCATTTTACAAAAAACTTTTTTTTTGGGGGGATAAAAAACAAGAATTTATTAGCAATGTAATTTTGCATGAAATCTCAGAATTTTGGAAGACAAGTTGAAATATCTTAAAAATTTACTTTTTTTTCAATGACTAAAATCACTATATACTGTATATCTGTATTTTATTTTTCCTATTTTTATTACTATAGTATAGTACGTTTTTTTTTCTTGTCTTAAATGTAGAAAAAAAAACACTTGGCACTTAACCAGAATGTATGTGCGTGTGCACACATCAGTTAAATGGTTTGAAAATGAGAGTTCACCTTTGACCTTCATGGTGCTGCATGCAATTAGATTCTCTCCTGGGCCTTGCGCTTTACGACCGCTGCTTTCTGTATGCGTGTGTGTGTTCCCCTCAGGTGTGCATGTGCTTTAACGTCTGCGCAGGGAGCGCAGCGCGCCAGACACACTTGATCACACTTTGATCACATTTTACTAGCTTGCCCTCCTCACTCATACTTTTTTCCGCAAGATATTTTAAGAAATAAAAGGATGAAGAAATAATTTTGCAAGAAATGAGAAAAAAAAGAATTACAAGGGGAAATGTGCTAAAACTAGCGAGAAATAATGTTATGGCAGATGGAAGATGTCGGATGACATGATTATTGTTGTTTGCGGTGAGTCCAAATGTTTCCCTCCGCTCTGCGTCACAGGTGCGCTTTGTGTCGGACTTTTTCAAGAAGCGTCCGCCGTGCCGCGCCAAGCCCGAGTGCGCCGACAGCGAGGAGCCCGAAAGGAAGCCCAGCCTTCAATTTGTCGACTCAGAGCACACCAACCATTACAACTGTCATCCGGTGTGACCACGCTCGCCGCCAATCACACGGTACCAAACCCCCCCCCCCCCACCGACACCCCCCCACTTCATCCGGCGGGCGTGTCGTCTTCCCGTTTTGAGTCAACCACTCACCTCCCATCTGCTTCTCACTACCACTAGACTGAGCGAGAGGGTTCGTCCTCTCCGAAACGCCTCCTCGTCCTCTTGGAGGCAGTGTCCAAAACGCACGCGCCGCCGGTTCGCGTTGAAGGCAAAGACTCGGAAATGATGTGGCGGCGCAACGCCGGCTGAGCAATCGCTGACGACAAGCTCGTGTTCGTTCACTCGTTCTCATTTCGGCTTTTTGTACCGATGTCGCTTTTGTCGTGCGTCGGTGTGGATTCTCTTCGAGGCGCACCACTACTACCGCTTGAGCTTTCCTCATCAGATCCTTCTTGAGGCACGCCCGCGCAATCCAGAAAAAGACAAATTCTGCCTGAAACACAATCGTGCAGTTGGAGTATTAGGGGGAACAAAAAGCACGGCGGGGCCACTCAATTTTGAGATTTGAAAACAAATAGCTGAAGCTGAAAGAGAAAGTGTTAGCATTAGCATATGCTCCCTCTTACGTGTTCCAGTTTAGGGGTGAGTGGTATCATTTTGAACATGTTTTGTATTTTACAAGAAAAGATGCAAAATTGCAAGAAAAAAAGCTGAATATTTTGATGGTTGTTGTTGTAATGTTGCTTTTTGAGGGGGGGAAATGTTATATAAGAATTCGAGGCGTAACAAAAATTGATGTGAATCACACCATCAAATTGAATCATTCTTTAAAATGTGCCACCCTTGAATCAAATACCACCCCAACATATGTAAAAAAAGATCGTCTTTTATTGGTGAGATGCACACCCCTAAATTTTCATCGGACATTCTTTTATCATACTTTAGTCATACTTTTAAAATAAGTTGAAATTTGATGGAGAGAAAAAAATAAGAAAATGACTTGAATTCAATAAAAGTCAGAAATTTGCAAGAAAAATTTGAGTGCAAGGAAAAGTAGCTATTTTGCAATCATGTCATTCTAATTTCAAAACGCTGAATTTCCCTAAGTATGCATGTAAAAAAAAATTGTGTCACTCCAAGTATTGGACTAATCGATCTATTCCACACAATTCCTGATGCACGATTGATCTGTGTTGCGCTCTCATCTTATTTAGCCCCTTTTTTTGCATTATTGCAATTGTAAAGGCAGGCTTGTCCATTCGGCTCTATCAGTAGAGTGTGTGTGTGTGTGTGTGTGTGTGTGTGTGTGTGTGTGTGTGTGTGTGTGTGTGTGTGTGTGTGTGTGTGTGCGCAGTTGACGATCTTTTTCTACTCTGTGACTTGTGGGTGTCACGTGAGTGAGGAAGGACTGCAGTGTAGATTTGTAAAGCTATGTGCATATACCACTACCATGTTGCCCAATTTTAAAAAAAATCATTTTATCATCAAATGTAAGGATGAGACACGTTTTTTTTTTTTTAAAAGGAAAACTGCCTTAATTTATTGAAAACCTTCTTTCTATTTTTATTGTGCAATCACCCTGCTTGCCACTTTGAGCTGTACACGCTCTATCATATGAATGCGAGAAAGAGAGAGAGGGAGAGACGGATAGATAGAGATATATCGATAAATAATTGTAATTTTCACGTAATTGTGTTCGTGTAGAGCAAGGGTGGGTAAACTTGTGCTCAAGGGGCCACATTTGATTTGGAACACAGACAGATGGGCCGATGTGAAGATGTGGTTAAAAAAATAAATTCATGTGTACCATACCATATTTTGACTACCGTTCGAGAATGTTTCAGGTCACTTGGGAAATATCCTTTATTTTTGAAAGAATTGCACGAATGTATAATAAGTGTTGCCTCAAGTTAAATTTATATTTTTAAATAATAATAATAATAAAAATCATCTGTTCACATTAAAATGAATGTATATCTCATTCATTTGTTCCAGCACTTCCAAAACCGGCAACAAAAAGGTTTTCTTTTTATTAGAAAAATAGTATTTTACTTTCTTAAAACATATAGTGATAACATTTAACACGAGTAGACTGTAAATTATTCAACAATTTGTGCATCATGATAATCCAATGGGCATTGTGCTGCTCCTTCTGGTGGGCACATTCCATCAGAACTAAGATGCAATAATTTGGCATTTTTGGTAGTCGATAAGATGGCGGCAAAGCACTTTTTTGTATTCAATCATGCTTCCGGGCATGACAACATGAAGTTTCTCCCCCTCGTTGTTGTTGAACAAAGTTGCTTGGCACTAAGGTGCCACCAGATGGCACCAAAGCTGTTCTTTTGTATTTGGCATGGCTTTAGCCTATGCACAAAAACTGACTAAAAATCACTGAAAAAGGAAAAATTGTGAATGCCGAATGTGGGGTTCACTGTCTGGAAACATTTTTCTGTTCCAAAGTTTGAGTCATTAAAACTGTTATTATATTATGAATAAAATAACTTTTTAGGGGATCCCTTAAATACTTGCAAGTGCAAAGATATGAATTACAGGCAGAACATTTGACTGTTTTACAATACTTTGTCTTATAACATTTGTTTAATATTACACCTGAAATAAAAATCAGCAAAAAATTGGCCGGTATTTTTTTTTCCTCTAGTTATGTTGTAATGTGCTAATCAGTGAAGAAAAATAACCTCTGATTTCTGCTGATTTTAAAAGAGCTAACTGGCCAATGCGGTGGGCCATCGTTGTCAATATAGTAAAAACTGAACAAATAAATACATTTTAAAAAGTTTTTCTTTCAAAGTATAAGACCCTAAATTTTATGTTTTTTTTTAAACATACAAAAGATATATCTTCATTTGTTTTATTCTCAATTTAATTCTAATTCTGAGAAATTAACTATTTTTTAATACAACATATACAAATTTGTTTTTTATTTTACCAATATTTGAACTTATATACAATAAAACAACTCACCATTTCTTAATGTAATAAAATAAATTTTAATACCCCAATTTTAGTGAAAAAGAGATCCAAATTAATGTACAAAATATCCCAGGACTCTTGATCGAGATCACCCCAATGTGGCCCCCAAGCCGTATTTTGCCCACCCATGTTGTCGCAATCTCAGTTTCCAAATGTAAGCCAGATGCCTCTGCGGGACAAAATGGCCACCGTAGTGAACACTCACATGTACAGCTCTGTTCTTATGAAGCCAAGGAATGAAGGGTAGTTACGCCATACAACGAAGGGCCAGACGAAGACCTGAAACGTGGCCGCTAATCATGTCAAATAGACAAAAAAGCACAAAGAGCTGCTCCAGATGAAGTGTTGTGTGAGACCCAGACTCCTCGCCAATGTTCTCAGCCTCTCATGTTTTATCCGTGTGTGCCTTCAAAAGGTGCTATTGAGTGTGTGTCACCATGTAATTAGAAACTCTATGTTGTGATTGTGTGTACATTTTGGAATAAACATGTAATCTGCATTCACTTATGTTATTTCTCTATTTCTTAACAAAAATGATCCGAATTTGGGCATGACGCCCTGCAGTGACAACGTAGCCTGTATGACTGCAATATTTAACAACCGGGTTGAAAACTACACCGAATATTCTGGAATATTCTGTACCTCACCGTTGTTCCCGCGGAGAGCTTTGAAATCCGCGGCAAAGTCTGCCAATCATGCCGCCAAAGATGAATCCACTGGTTTTCATCAAATATCAAGAGGCAGCCATTTTGAATCTCTATCGCCCTCTGTTAAGAAGACAAATCCACCGGCTTTCATTGACTCTCAAGAGGCAGCCATTTTGAGGTTTCTATCGCCCTCTGCTGTCAGCGAGCCCAATGGCACTTTGACTTAAATTTTTCGTCGACAGTAGAGGGCGATAGAATCTCAAAATGGCCGCCCAGTTCCCCTTCAACCAGAAAGCTGCACTTAAACCAGTGAGGGCACATAGAACACATTTCAAAGAAAAAAAAATCCCCTTCAAGTGACCAAAATCTGCTTCCTTTCCTCATAAATGGCTGCAAATGATGAAAAGCAAAGTTGAATGAAGCTTCGTCTCTGAATCTGCCCTCCAAATCCTTCCTGAAGTACTACACTTGATAACAGCAGAGAAAGAAGACGGTGAAATGGAGCAGCCTTGGTCCAGCATTTCCCTGCCCTTGGCCTTGCGTGTCGCGGTGTGATTTATGTATTTACACTAGCGCGCCATTTCCCTCGCTTCACATCTTTCCATCTTGCCGTTGTGAGTCCTTTATGGATGGCAGAGGGAGAGGAAGAAAAACACTCGTGGAGCAGTGAGGTAAACGACACTGGGGTATGTCGCTCACAGGGTTCAAGGTCGGGGCGAGGCCGTACATCCAGTCCCCCTCCAAAAGTATTGGAATGACAAGGTCAGTTCTGTTGTTTTTATTTTATGCTGAAGTCATTTGGGTTTCCAGAGATGAATATGAGACAAAAGATCGGAATTCCAGCTTTTATTTCACGGAATTTCACATGTGTTCAACGACTCAGAACAGAGCATCTTTTGTTTGAAGCCACCCACTTTTCAAGTGAACAAAAGTATCGGAAACATTTCATATTTGATGGCATAACCCTCACTTGCAATAACTGCATCAAGTCTGCAACCCATTGACTTCATCAGACTGTTGCATTCTGCATTTGAAATGCTTTTCCAAGCCTTGACTGCAGCCTCTTTCAGTTCCTGTTTGTTTTTGGAGGTTTCTCCCTTCAGTCTCCTTTTCAGGAGGTGAAATGGATGCTCTATTGGGTTAAGATCCGGTGCTTGACTTTGCTCGTCTAACGCCTTCCAGTTTTGCCCCCCGATGAAGTCCTGTTATGTTGGGACTGTGTTTTGGGTATTTGTCTTGTCACATGTTTGGATGTTTTTTTCTGAAAATTGCCACTCCAGAATTTATTCTGCTGCTACTATCACGAGTTAAAAGCTGTTATGCTTTATTTTTGCGTTTGAGGGCCTGTAGAACAGACTGTGAAAGCCTCCGGGCAGCCGTCTTTTTCTTTGACCCGGCCTGGCAACAAATGATGGCTGAAATGTGATTGGTGAAATCCTTTACTATGAAAACATGTGTGGAAGCAGTGTAACCATCGGACAAGCTCCAAAAGGAAGCGGACAGACCAGCTTCAACCATTTTATAAGTATTACAGAACAAACCGGAATTAACGTGTGATTCAGATCATGTGATTCACCGTAGTATTGCTACTCAAAGCACACTTGAAGATTCTCTGCTGTGGCGTTCTGAGCTACCGAGCCGACCTGAGAAGTATTGAAGCCGTGTCGGAAAAGGAGGATGACTCAGGTTGAGCACCGCGTTACTACGCCCTGAGCAACAAACAACTGGGTGTGGATGCTTGTCAGCCAACTTCAGTGTTCCAAGGAGACCTTTAGATGTTTTTTTTTTTTTTCCAAGTGGCCATACGTAGTCGCTCCTCAGACACTGATTGGACTTTCTAGCCACTTCAAAGTGTCCACTGTGCAGCTTTTTGGGCTTTTTGCCCTCACAACCATTCATGTGAATAACTGCACTGTTTGAAATTCTTGCACTGTCAGATGTATTTTAATGATCAGGGAGGGGCTGCTTGTGTACTACTGCTTGTGTACTACTTTCACCCACACTTTGTCAACACGTGTCTCCCACACACACCCAGTAAGTGATCAAATGTCTGCGAAAGAGGCAAAGGAGTTCGACTTCTTCATGTGGCTACCCAAACATCTGGCAAGTCTTCAAGGTGAAACGCAATCAACCTGGAACCACAAAACCACAAAAAAAAATTTAAAAAAAAGTAAAAGAAGAGAATAAATGAATGGTGCTTTGAAATGGAAACTGCATTTTCTACCTTCCTTCTGGATTGGTGCTTTGCATTTAACTGCATTAAATGTTGACTTAATCCTATCTAAAATGCATAATAAAATAACATTGTTTTGTGTTCAGTCAGTGCTTTAAGGTTATTCTGATTGTAATACACATACATACCGTACATCATATTTCGATGTATCTCCTGACCGTAATCTCCAAATAATGGATTTTTTTACTTTTTGGGAGGGTTGTTTTTCCTAAATTATTCATCGCTCAAAAAAAAAAAAAATACTTGACTCTCCAAGTCCTAGCCACAATCCTGACCCACATTCTTCCTTCTTGTCCTAGCCACTGCAATGTTATGCACAGTTACAACATTAACGTTGCGTGTAAATATTAGAAAATACACCAAAAAATGTACTTCAATCATGATTCCATTAGAATTTATTGCGCATACAACTGCATTAAAAACATTGTCCCTTCCTAAATGCAGGGTTGAAAACAAATGGACAAGTATTGTACTGAAAATACAATACGATGTTAAATACAACTGAATTCAACAAATTACAGTTGTCTCAATTTGGTTTAATTGTTTTGCTATGCCCTCACTGTGATTCCATTGAGCTCTACACGGCTCCTCTCCGCCAGTCAACCACGCCCACTTCATTAGCTCACCTGGGCGCACAGGTGCTTCAAATCAGCTACTCGCCACTTTTCAAGCCTCTCTCGCTCACCCGCTCCTCACCAGTCTGTACTCTCTCTCTCTCTCTCTCTCTCTTCTCTCTCTCGCTCTCTCGCTCTCTCTCTCTCTCTCTCTCTCTCTCTCTCTCACACACACACACACACACACACACACACACACACACTCTCACTGCCTCACTGTCAGTGTTGTGTGAAGCGCAGTTGATGCCCTTTAACACAGATTCCCAATGGAATTTTTGGGGGGACATGGGGGTTGGGAGGGAGATTGAATGTCCCCTTCCTCAGGTGGATTGCTGTGGCCCCGCCCCCCTTTGCACATCACCGCTCATCATTTTCCTGTTAATCACTTCAGCTTTCTGCTCTCCACCAGAGTTCCGCCTTGACACATCTTTTTTCTGTTTGCCTGTTCCTGTGGCTGTTTGCATATAGTCTTACAGGAATAAAGCATTTAAAAGAGATTTTTGTAATCTTAGGAGGGTAATGGTGCATTTAAATAAAATTTTCACTCAAAATACAGAATAAAAAGTTGTTCTTACATTGATTTTTTTATTGTAATCTTGCAAGAATAACGTATTTTTTTAGATTGTTTTTAAAAATGAAATGTTGATTGTTTTGTATACAAAAACACAAGAATAAAGTTCAAAATTTTAAGACAAACGTTTGCATTTGTTGGGGGATGTCAAAAAGTAACCTTATACAAATGAAGTTGTGTTTTTCAAACATAGAAGCATTTATAGACTAAAGACTAAAAAGTGCATTTTAATCTCATTTAAAACTGCATTTTTCAGGCTAAAGAATTTACTTTTTATTCTTCTGAGAATAGGCCCAAACAAGACTTAGTATGTGGAGTATATCATAAATATGAAGTTAAATATTGCAATACAATAAACAGAAAAGGATAGGTTTATATCTTGATTAACCACATCAGCTATTGGTTTAAAAAAATCACAACGTAGTAAAGTATACAGTAGTAATTATGGAGAAGTTGAGCAAGCAAAACAATGGTGGCTAAGAGCAGATCTCTCTCGTTCGCACGCTTGCGCGCGCACACAAACGCACGCGCACACACACACACGCGCACACACACACACACACACACACACACACGCACACACACACACGCACACACACACGCACACACGCACACACACACACACACACACACACACACACACTTAAACCGGGTCAAAAATTATGTATAAATGTGTTTGCATTAATTCTGTTCTGCATTAAAATTCACTGAAGGTGCAAGTCAAGCTTTAATTTGCTTTTACGGCCCTCACTGCTGAGCTATTTTCGTCCACGCGTCCCCTCGAGGTTTCACATGTGTGCGTGGGGGAGGCGGGGGGTGGGTGGGTCATGCGGCTCACATCCTCTGAGCAACTCACAAATATACGCGTTCATCAATATGCTCATTATTAAACGAGAGAAGAAGTCACGCCACTGTTCAACCGCATGCTTTCTTGGACTGTGCTTTGGCGACGTTGTGTGGCGTTCGTGTGCAATTACAGTTTTATGCCGTAAAATAACATCCCTTGTGTTGTGAAATGTCGCAAAACAACTCCAGCAATGGTAAAACTCGCCCATGAGCGACAAAACAGCGGTTTTGGCTTTAAGTGTAACGTCACAGCAACAAAAGCAACTCCCCTAGCCCCTGACTTCAGCAGGTAAACGAACCATAAATCAGCAAACATAGTGTGGACTACTGAAAGTCAGTGGAGTTATTTAATCTTTCCTACTCCACATTCTTGCCGGTAACCTAACTTCTTTCTTTCCTCTTATTTCCTTCTTCCTTTCTGTTAATACTCTCAGACTATCCATCTTTCCTTCCTTGTATCATTTTTTGTTCCTCCCTTCCTTCTTTCCCTCCTTCCTTTCACACCTCCTCTCTCTCTCCCTTCCTCCGTTTTCTTCCTTTCCCTCTTTCCTTCCTCCCTTTCTTGTCATCCTTCCTTCCTAATAAGTCATTTTAAAAGTGTTGACCCACTTTTCGAACTTAACTAGTGGCCTCTGTATATTTCATACTTTTTAAATGACATCTCTTAGACCCTGTTTGCTCGTATGAGATGAGTGACAGCACCATCCAAGAGCTTTGAGATGCATTAGCAAGTCAATGCTTTCATGTAACCCGAAGTCAGTTTCACTAAGCAATATAAAACTTGGTCGGGGTGTCTGGGGTAGAAACACAAAAAAAGTTTTCAGCAGACAGAAGTCTGCCATTTTGTTGTGAAGCGGCCATTTTGGGTTCATTTTAGCATTTTCCAAGTGTTTGATACTAGGCACATGGGTGATGGTAAATTGCTAATTTTTTGCGTTGCATGCGGACACAACCTGGTGGCAACCACACACAAAAAAAGTAAAGAAACAGAAAAACTTGAATAAATTAATTTTGTTGGACCTTTCCTCTTGGTTGCTTATATTATTGCTAGGATACAGCTTTGACGCTCAAGGCCAACTACGCCATTGGAAGACTGCAGCGTGTCATTCACTCCATTGTTCCGTTTGATGAAAGAAATTCATCTCACCCTTTGCGACGACGAGTCTCGTTCTGGAGAAGGCAAAAAAAAAGAGAATTAAGCTATGAATAAGTGTTGTCATTGAAATGAAGTGTCTCTGGAGCGTAGAAAACAACGTTAGGGGGCCTTCGCGCTGGAATTCCTGAGGACCCTCATTCACATGGCCGTGGGCGTATATGCGTGTGTGTGTGTGTGTGTGTGTGTGTGTGTGTGTGTGTGAGTGTGAGTGTGAGAGAGTGTCACCGCGGGTATTTATTTGTGTTTGTCTGTGTGTGTGCATGTGTACGAGCTGCTGCTGATGTGGGTCATTACCCCCTTCTTTTCCCCAAGGGTCCATGCAATGGGAGAGGGGAGGAGGCGGATGCTGCATGATGTGTGTGTATGTGTGGGTGTGAGTGGGGGTGTGTATGATCTTGCATAAGGGTGGGGTTGAGGTTGTGTCCCCGAGGATCTGAGACCAATAAATCACTGCGCCGTCTCTGCTCTGACACCCAGCTTGTCTGATGAGGGACAGCGCGGAAGGGGGAATGTGGGAGGTGGAGGGTTCGATGAGTGTGGGGGAGTGGGCAGAGGGAGGGGTGCAGCGGGGAGGATGGTGGGGGGCACCACGCAACAGCACGGTGGCCTTGTCTTCCTGCCATTCTTGACCCTATCTTAAAGGCACTGGGGAAATGGGGCAGCAGCGCCGGAGTCGCTACAAAGCGCAGTGCCGAAACCGCAGCAACTTTATCACACTGCCTTCAACAGTATTTCAAAACACGGGCAGTGCAGCCAAGTTGAGGCTGTGGAGTCTAGGGCTGCAATATCCAGAGCTAAGGATCAGCTAGAGTGTCAGCTAATTTTAGCATATGTGTTTATTTTGGACATTTTCAACAATGTTTTGCAACAACAAATCTGCAAATCCGAAAAAAAATATCACCAACTTCACGTTTAAGTACAGTTTGGTTATATTTAACTTTTCTGGACAATACATTTGCATTGAAACTTCATTTTTCAGCCCTAGAATGACATGTTTTTTTTTTTTCATTCGAAAATATTCATTTTTCTCACTCCGTGTTTCCTTTTTAGACTTTTGTATCTCTTTTGGAGTGAAGAATCAACTTGAAATTCCTGGTTAAATTGGAAAACATCCCGACCGAGTGTCTCCGGCTAATTCAAGAGACTGTTGGGAGAAGATGTCATGTCGTGGCCGCGAGAACCACCTAACCAATAATTAAGTCCAATGGATTTTTTTTTTTTTTTTTTGGCTTCACAGTTCTGAGGTTCTGGGTTTGAATCTTGGCTCTGGCCTTTCTGCTCAGTGTTTGTTCGTACGTATTTATAAAATGGAACTTTAATTTCACAGACCAATGAGTTGATTTTACTTTATTCCATGAAGTCATAACTGCGGATGGTATGTTAAACAATGGTTTCTCAGCCATGTTGTTTGCTTGCTATGGTGTGAAAATAATGGATGGACTGGACAATGAATCAAATGTTCTTTTTTAAAGACACTGAAAATGTGTATTTGCTCCTGGCTGCCAAATAACTCAGCCACTGATGTTGATTCCGTTTTCTGAATGGATTTAATAGGATGCTCTCTCTGGATTGTCGACTGGTCCGTTGGGATCAAATGGAGGAAAATAATAATTAAACTGCACCACATCTGCTCCAAAAGACGCCAGCCCACCGGGCATCTGCCTTGTGTACCCGATGGCCAGTCCAACCCTGGTTCTATGGATGTGACTTGTAAATTATTGTCGGGCGAAAACGCTATAGAAAATGGACAGGTGGTTTCAATTTTTTTTTTTTTTTGCTTCATGTTTGTGTCACCTCCAGCAGTGTGCTGCACAGAAGCTTCAAAAAAGGAGCGCAGAGCGAGAAGTGAACAATGCAGCGCTATTTCTTTACTGTCACACCTCATGTCCGCGTCTGCAACGGCACCATCCAGAGTTCAAATGACGAAGCCACTCATTGAGTCAATCCCGCCGTGATACCTTCATGTTTATTGTTCATATCACACTGGATGAAGTCATCTGCCGAGGTCGGTGGGAGTCCAACTGGCCTTGTTCAAAGCCTCCCCGTGTGCTCCCCGCATTCCTACGCTTCAAGTTGTGATTATGAAGATATGCAGGCCTCTCCTCCTCCTCCTCCTCTTCCTCCTCTTCTCCCTCCTCCTTTCCATTGTTTTGGCCAGCATGCGGCTGAACATGCGTTTACTCACACTCGGCATACGTGCGCCGCAAAGACCCTCTCGCCTTGACGCTCTTCCAACTAAAACCAAAACTCTCCTTTCATTGTTGGCTTGACTCTGATGTCCCGTCCCTTGTGCGGATGAGAGAAACTATTTAACCGCTGAAGCCCGGCCAACACACACACACACACACACACACACACACACACACACACACACACGCACACACACACCTTCACCTGACCTGCCAATAGCAATATACAGTGTGTGTCCTTCACTTATCTTTTTCTATTATCTATATTGTTTTAACCCCCCCCCCACTGCTGCCATATTCCGACCCTTCCTGTGCACACCCTGCTGCTTGCACACAACATGAAGCTACTTCACATGTGTCACATTTCTCCTCTATGACTGTATTCTAATAAATGTGATGCCGCAATTGGAGATGTCGTGCATTCAAATTCAGCAGGGCAGTAAAAAAAAATGGCAATAAAATGTGTCCTCTTCTCCATCTTTTCCTTCTACAGTCACCTCTCTTGCTCTTCCATTCCCTCACACGCGGACCAAATACACACACACACACACACATTTTTCATCACTCGTGCACTACCCCCCCACTGACTCGTCTTTCTCAGCATCCCCCCTGCTGTCCTTCATCCTTTATTCTCTACCTCCTCCCTCCCCCCTTCGGCCTCCCCCCCTCGCCCCCGTCTTTCTCTTTTTCTCACACACATAGTTGTAGCCGCACACAAACACATGCACACACATCTATATTTTCCAACTCCACCTCTGGCAGGTTGTGATTTCCACTGTCAGAAATTGCTTTTTCAATATCTCTCTCTAATTATGAGCCGCGCTAAAGGGGTATTGCCACCAGAATACCAATTTTCTACAATTTATTTCCTTCTTGGCTGGAATAATTCTCGTGTTCCAGCCTGCAACAATGAAGACATCACGAGTGTGTGTGTGTGTGTGTGTGTGTGTGTGTGTGTGTGTGTGTGTGTGTGTGTGTGTGTGTGTGTGTGTGTGTGTGTGTGTGTGTTTGCTACATTATCGCCAGTGGGCCCTTCCAATCCTTCCCCTGAGGTGGTGATTAGCAAAATACAAGGAAAGGGGGGTGGGCGGTGATGATGTTTGATGATGATGATGATGATGATGATGCACATCTTTCAGGTTTATCTCCACGCCAACAAGGACAAAATGCAAGATGTTCAACAAAGCACTGTCAAGCTTGTGGCGAGAAAAGCGGAAAACCGCCGAATCTCAATCGACAAGCAGCCACACCACCAAGCACCGCCCCTCGCCGCCAACAGGGGGTTAACTCAAGCGCTCCCCCACACCTCCTTGTCCTCTTTGATTGACGTGCGGGAGCCCTGCGCTCCAATCAGCTACGGAGCAGCCTGTTGCCCACGTGGGCACGCCCGACGCCGATTGGCTTGTTCCACCAGCTCCGAGGACGAGCCCCACGTGGAGATTTTCATTCAATCACTACTGAGAACGATTCCACGGAGCCTCGCCCCCTCCTCTTTTTAAATAAACGTGTTTTTTAATTACGTGGACTAATCTAAATCGCGTTTATGTAAACCCAATTAAATAAAAAGCTCAACCTTTTTTAGGGTTGAAATAGTGGCATTGAATCAGCACGTGTAGCTTTATTTAAAAGAAACTGGATGCGTGTGAGTGTGGGGGGTGTATTAACCCCCCCCCCCCACACACACACACACATCTCTCTCTCTCTCTCTCTCCTTCCTTGAAGAACTCGTATGTTGTGTCCCATTGAGGATGAGCGAGGGGGGACAGAGAGGGTGAGGGAGTGTTGTGTGAAAGGAGTGCAGGCCGACGAGGGAGACAAAAGAGGCTGCGGCTGCATTCAATGTGCTGCTGTTGTGTTGTGTGTCCGTCTGCGAACCGCTCCTCCTCCTCTTCGCCAAGAAAGAAAGAAAAGGCGAGGAAGAGAGAGAGGGAGAGAGAGGCGCCACCTGATATCGCGCTAGCTGCCGGACCTATCCTCAAGTTTGGGAGACTTTAGTGGAGAGGGACAAGGTGGAAGGCTTCCAAGCGGGACCGGTTCCTTGCTCTTCCTGCCCCGGCCCTCACGCGTCGAGAGCGGGGCGGCGGTGTTTCGGGAGAGCCGCGGTAGGCAGAACAAAGGAAAAGCGAGGAATGAGCGAGCCGTAAGAACAGCTTCCGAGCCAAATGTCCCACTGAGAAAATATATCATTAGAAGAAATACCCTCCTCGTATTCCTCGACGCAGCTTTTTCGACTCGCCGCGGGACAAGAAGGACAATAATCGCACGGAGACGCACGTTTGACGGTCAGAATGTTCCCTCAAAACCGAGCACCGGTGAGTAGGAAGTGTCCATGAAACGCTTATCGTACCATTTCCGGGTACTCGTTTTTTTTTGTTGAGGTGCACGATAATGGTCGGGCTCGATTGTTATCCGTAGACCGGTGGATGAGTGGGTCGAACTTTCCAGACTTGGGTGCCTTCTCCACCACAAACATGAACCGTAATTCGGATTCCACGCTCATGGTGTGTGAAGTAAAGTGAAGTGGAGTGGAGGGATGGATGATGGGGATGAAGAGAGCATGCGTTTGTCCTTTTGCTCTGATAGCTGAGAGCAAGGGAAGTGACTCAACTTTGCTTGTTGACACATTTGCAAGTGCCATTCTTCTGTGTTCCCCACTTTAAATTACATCACTGTATATTCGGTATGTTGGCCCTGTCCGGAAACCCAAAATACGAAAACAATCGCTTTACAAGGTGTCAAAAAGCATAGTAAAGTCATCCCTCTACATTTCGCGCTTCGTTTTTTGCAGTCTGCCTGTAATGTGAATTTGTAAATTGTACATACCAGCATTTTGCGGCGATGGTTTTACGGCATGAACTCGTTTTATTGCAGACTTGCGTAGCAATAAGCACAAGCCAGAAGCAAAGAGATGGGGAATGTCCAAAGTTAGGGATTATTTCACCCTTAAAAACAAAGAAATTAAATGTCACTGTGTCTCCTGTGAATCAGAGCTAGCTTGCAGAAGAACACGTCTACAAGCTGACACAATTACAAAAAACAGCTAATTCAATATAATTTATCCTCACTAGTTATAGCATAACTAGTCACACAATCATACAGCCCCTTTCAATTACTTTATCGAACAAACGCTAACAAAATAAACATTTCATACACTTCGGCCTCAACCCTTCAGACTGGCTAACCTAAGCTAACAACATCCTCGTTCACTTACTCCCATGTCATTCAACTGCTTTTAAAGCAAGTCACAGACTCTCCGGTGTAGATTGTAGAATGTATCCATAGTGACTCCAAATGGACAAAAAATATGTGAACCTCAGATGCATATTTTGTGTTTGTATAATGCATAAAGCCTTTAAATAGATGAAAAATAATGTTGTTGCTTCTTTGTCGATCATTGTCTCTCTCTGGGAGTTTCATTCACATAATGCACTCACTAAATGAATATGTATCTTTTTGTTTTTCTACCTGTAAAACACTACCATGTTAAAAACACATCAACACTGCCCCAGAAAGCCATAAATATTGATACAACCTTTTTACAAGATGTTCAAAAGGATTGCGGCATGCTATTTTTACCATCACTCGACTGAGTGATCGAGTCATATTTAGCTCTTGCCATCTTATTGTCACCCTCCTGCTGTGTGTAAGTACCTATAGCGCTTACTGGGACTCAACTGTTGAGCGTAGTATCTTATCTTGGGCGTAGGATTGATTGTAACTGCCTAGCAACAACAGGAAGGCAAGATGATCAGGGATTAAAATCCAAACGGTGGCCATTTAAGCCGCTTTTGTCTATTCGATGCGGTCACAGTAGTAACGCCAAACATGTTTTTGAAGATCAGTGTTTATACTGGACGGTTATACTTCCCATAGTCTTCGGCGTACAAAAGGCAAGTTGTCATCAAAGTTGCCCCGTCATGTAGCCTTTTTTAGGTTTTCTCGCTCAGGTGTGACCACAGTAATTGTCGTCAACCACATGAACCGGTGTGTCAGTATGTTCCCGGTATTGTTCGGATGTGTTAGTGGTTAGCACGTCAGCTACACAGTTCTGGCGTTCCGGGTTTGCTCGTTTGTGTGGGCTTTGTCCTTGCTGTCGCATTCCCACGACATGCACTAAAGTTTCATTGAAGATATTTCATTCTTTATAGAATGGTTGTTTGTTTGGATATACAGTATGCCCTGCAATTCGCTGGTGACCATTCCAGTTTTTGCCCTGCCCCCTCGCCCAAAGTCATTTTGGATAGACTCTAGCTCACATGTGACCCCTTACCGAGGACAAGCATTTTGGTTGTGTTTGGATTTATTCTTCTTTTTTTTTTTTTTTGACCATGATAAAATTAATCAATCGTCATCTGATCTGGAGAGAAAGCAAAGTCATAATGCGAAAGCATTCTGTATGTTTGTTTGGAAGAAAAAGAGTTGGAGTCCACTTGCTGTCGTTTGGGGTTTCGCAAAAGAATTTATAACAAGTCACGTTTTGTCATTTAAAAAAAAATGCATACCGACATGTGGAGACTCAAACAAACACTGTAAATCAATTTCTTCCTCCCTAATCCTAATTTGACTTTGGGTCAGTTCAAAACTCTGGTCATGATTGTGACACAAGCAATTTCAATGTATAGGTTGAAACATTTAAAAAAAATAACTTAATATAAAATAATCTTCCTCGTAAGGGGTTTGAGAACCCCTCATCTACAATATTGTACCCCATAAGTACCACTTTTCCACGGCCAATCCATAAATCGAGTGTCATGGGTACAAGGAAGTAATTTTGATGGTACCACCATCTCATGACAATGTTTTATTTCCTCCCCTGAGAGATGTACCCAGGTTTTAATTTGCGTCAATCAAGTTAGGTGGAGGGCTTTTGAGCTGACTGAAATACATAAACACTGGTCCTCTAACTGCGTGAAGTATCAATTAAGGACTCGCTCATTTGCCTAACCCTCATCTCCATGCCTCAGCCACGCCGCCCCCCCCCCCCCACGCTGTTTTGACATTCATGTCCCGCGCTACTGAAACAGATTAGACATGTAAATGTGAATTTACTCGCGATTCTTCCACAGGTGGGAAAACAAAACATACTTTTTTTTTTAAGTGAATAGATTTGACGCAGCATCGTGTCCTTATCGGCCTTCGAGCCCCCCGCACTTCCTTTGCTGTGATCTTGTGACCACCGGCAGCTGTGTGTGTAAGAGGGCCCGCAGGAAAGGCAGGGAAGGAGGCAGACTGTGGCTCTGCGGTTTACGCTGTAAACCCAATCCCTCTCATCCAGCCTCTCCTCGCTGTGTTCCTGCGAGAGGCTCCAAACCACATCTTAAACGAATGGGCAGGCATCCCAGGGTGAGAGGCGCAGTCTGCCGCAGCGGCGCTTGTTGGGGGGGGGGAAGAGCGATGACCCCGTTTCTTTTTCGGTACACACACACAAGCGCGCAAAGCCAGGCAATAGCTCCGATTCTCACCTTAGAGCGAAGGGCCCGTCAACTTGGCACACGGTTTCATCCGTGAAAGGCGAAGCGGCCGGTAACCCGTCGGTGTGCCGCATACTGGGCTGAAATATGATTTCTGTCCTCAAGAAAGAACTTGGCGTTCAATTTTCACCATGTCGGCTCCGAAAGAATTGAGCATTTCTATGTTTATCGCATTTAGCTCATTCACTCCCAAAGACGTTTTTATATGTCTTTTCAGACTTGGTTTAGAATTGGCTGGTATTGAATGAGTTAAGGAAAGAATTTAGTTTTGTTGTTGTCCCCCCCGCCCCCCCCAAATGGTACATATACAATACTCGTAGCATAGTACTTTGTAGTACGACCGTTCGACGGTGTGACGACAAGTGTAGCGGTGTTGATGCTTGTTGTGATTTGAATGCAGTTTTCGTTAGCACCCCGGTGATCGTTAGCGGATTATTGGACATCACATTTCGGCGAAGAAAATAAAGCTTCACTTGGTGCTGCTGCCCTCATTCTTCATCAGCAGTCCCGTGGTCTTGCTGCTCTGAATATTTTAAGACTCGCAGCGATTGGAATAGCCGAAGCTAGCGAGGCTAACCGCTATTCTCGACCACAACCAACTTATTTTCGTACTTGGGGAACCACGCAGATCTATAAAGACTGCGTCTCCTTGTTGGCCAGACATTTCAGTGCTCCACATAGTGTCGGCAGCAGACGGGCGACTCGAAAGCCCGCTGTGAATTGGGCCTATTGGGAAAAACAAGGTGCCCAAAACACGTGATTAGCAATAAATCGACTTCAGGCTTCAAATGTCGATATAAAGTCGTAAATTTGACTTTTACCATTTTTTTTTTAGACTGATTCCCGTATGGATATTTATTCTTTGAGTACTACAAAGTATTGATTCCTCTACTACCTTTTGAGGTATGTATAAAATGTAATTTTACACAATGGCCAAAAAAAATATGAATTACGAACAAAGACCTTTCTTTTTGACGCAGATGCGGATTCGCCATTTTATTTTATTTCATTTTTTTGTGACTGGTATCGGCAGCTTCCATGATCCTACACCTTGTATCGGTACTCGTTCATCCCTACTCAAAAATACGATTTATACCCCCCGCCCCCAAAAAAAGAGCTCATGTGTACCTAATGCTACGGATCGTGAGCGTCACACACTACCTAAATTAATCATGTACTCTGTTCATGAGAGTACATGTTAAATGGATTTTAGAATTAATAGCACAATATCAAATGTTCCCCGCACATATTTGCTTTGACAGGACGTGGAATTAAATGACCTTTTTCGCGGCCTTTGTTCCGTCACCACAAAGCATTGCTAATCTTGTATCTATCCAAATGATCATCCCCGCCGTCTTGTAATAATCCTAACTGCCCTTTTCCTCCATTTTCTACAGGACAATGCCCTCGTTTGGTGGTGGGGGTGGGGGGAGGGGTTTGCTAATGGCCACTCCTGTGAGTACTCGTGTCGTCTGTTTCGTTAGCGCTTTTGCCCTGCTCAACAGCAGTTAGTGTGCGACAACAGATCCCCACTCTACAATGAAACGTATCGTTTCTGTACTTGTAAGACACCACGAAAGACCGCCTTGGATTTGGTTACCTAAGCTAGTTCTCGCAAAATTATGGACACCAGAACACTGCTTCCGTCTGGTTCCGCTTCAACCGCCGTTGTCTGCGTTTTATCATGATGGAGTCTCGTAGGAGACATTCTCGTCTTTGTCCCGACTTCCTCTTATGAAACCGATGTAGTTAAAATGGATTTGCAAACGACCATTTGTCCAACGCTTGCTTTGTCTCAGCGGATTATGTTGAAAAGATCATTTTGTCAATTTGCCCATACA